CCTGAGCGCCAAACATTTTTGAATATTATCATGTTTCACCGTTTGCAGGCGTGTGTGTCCACAGAAAGGTTCTGTGCTGTTTCTTGGCTGCTTTGAGGCTGTGCCATGGATGCCTGTTCCAGTCACTGGCCTGCGGCTTTGAGCCTGTTGGCAGGGATGAAGTTCCACACACTCGCACCAGATGCTGAGCGAAGAAGGTTGGTTTGAGCCCCTATGATGAGCAGGGGACCGTGGAACAATGGAATACAGTGCATGAACCCCCCAGTCTCGGGATGTGATCAGCACTCCGTGAGCGATAGAGGATGATCCCGAAATCTCAAGTTCCGTTCACGAACGCTAGCGTTAGCTACTGGATATGTTCTTGCTTTAGCAAGAGGCCTGAGGTCAACACAGTGATCTTTCACTAGAACCGCCTTTCCAGTGAGGAAGCCTGCCAATACAAGATATTGGCAAGCTCGCCGATGCGGTTAGGCATCGTTGCTTCGTTGAACTAGGATTGCACCTTGATGCACTTTTTGCAACGGATTGCCCTAGCTTTCGTTTACCCCCGCTGGCCTCAAGTTGGAGGACGCCTCAGCCGTTAAACCAGCTTGGCCAATGTAGTCAATGACATGAACCACCATGCCAATGTATGCAAAGAAGGTGTTGAAGAAACTCACTGTATCAATATTTTGTAGCCGTAGCTTTTCGCATCAACGTGTCCAGCCTCCCCGATCGAGCAGCAAAGTACTTCAGCTTTCAATGACTGACAACTATTGCTATGGTTTTCGTTGCTTGAGGGAGTGGTCCCAAAGTTGCCTCAAGTGGTTGATACTGGGAATGACCTTCCATGTGTTGGTGTCAGGATGTCTACAGCTTTAGCGCCACCTTGGCCGCTTTGGCCAGCAGTGGCCAATGGGAGCTCTCCTTCAGCGTGCTGGAGCTGATGGCAGAGGTGGGCGATCCAGGGTTCGAGAGGTGGGCAGCTGCTCGCATAGTTGCAGAGCAACAAAGAGCATAAAGGGAGGCCAATATGCATTCGACCTGCACATTCTCCGTACCAAAAAGTTGGAGTGGACATGGCAATCGCTTACGTCGCTAAGGCTGAGGTCAGCCCGAACATTGTGAGCTATGGCTCCGTGCTAAGTGCCTGTGATAAGGGAGCTCAGTGGGAACGTGGACTGCAGTTGCTGAAGCAGATGCCGCAGGTGCAACTAATCCGAGGGCTGACCTAGATTCTTTTGCAGCATGATGGTGAAACATGCCGCAAAAATAACCTTTGAACGGTCTCATGGATCTTGGTTCGCACTGCACCACTGCTTTCCTGCGTCAATCATGGTTCCGTCGAAGGGAGCGACGCTTAAACTGAACTGCCCCCTGTTCGGAGAGTCCCTCGTCATTCTTTGGAGATAGTTGATGAGGGCTTCCTCACAAAGCTCGCTTGATGAAGCCAACAGTTTGAGTGCTCGGACTTGAAATAGACTTAGCGTGTGGAGGTGAAGCTGATGCCTGACACCTTTTGCGCCTTGACTTGAGCTTGGCGTCAACTTGGCGGGACATTTTCTCAGTCTTTGGGGTGCTCTAATTGAAGTCGGCCCAATGATGAAGCGTCCAGGCTGAGGAGCCAGGTCTCATCTTTTCTGGAGGGTGGCCGGGACCTCAATTGTGCCCAGCTGCCCTTCTCGGGCACAAGTGGTGATGGTTGGATTTTGCATAGATTATCCCGCTAGGCCATCCAACAATTCACCCAACAGCTCGGCACAACGAAGAAGGTGAATCGAGGAATGCAAGTGCAAGTGGTCACTTTGCACCTGCTCTCCTCTTCCCTGCTCAAATTCGAGGCACGTCCGCAGCAATCAGCGCTTGTGCCAATGCTCTGCACTGGCAGGAGGCATTACACTTGTTGCCCTCATCTCCAGACTCATGCCGCAGTTGAGCATGTACCACCGATTGCAAGCTGGCATTCCTCAGACAATTAGCCTTAGTGAATTGGAAGGATAAAATCGCAGATATGTATGGAGTGGAATGTTGCTTACAGGAGTGGCATTTGCCATGTGCACATTGGAACCGGAGTCGTTAGGTATGCTTTTGTGAAACAATACGGGGTGTTGTGACTTGCTTGCCATTAATAAGCGGGCTCACAGCTGGCTCATGCCTGAGGACTACTACAGTTGCAGCGCCAGCGTCAATGCATGTGCACGTTGCGCCCGCTGGCAGCAATCCCTGGAACTTGCAGTGGCTTTGTCGGATCAGAAGTTGCCACCGAACGGCATTATGTGGGGTACCATCATCAAAGCCATGCCAGACAAGGTGGGGAGCTTAGGAAGTCTGGTGGAGCATCACGACGGAGCGTGCGCCGTTCAGATGTTTCTTCCTTTTTCGCAAAGACGCACTAAGATGCGCTAAACACGACTTCCAATCCAGGTTTCCAGCTTGAAAAAAACACGAAGAACATTTCTCTCCAGGGAGAGCTGCTCGAAGATTTGCGGCAGACTTGGGTGGCCCATGCGCCAGCAGCAGTGGAGCTGGAAGGTGCGCCCAAAAGCGTTCCGTCTCGAACCGCGATGTATTGTATGGCAACACCATTGTGAGTATGGTATGGGTCTTCCAGCGAAGAGGTGCAATTACACGTGATTATATATACGTGTGTATAGCACTCGACAACGGAAATTGAGGGGGTGTTTCTCGACTTACTGGAATGACATTTCTTGGCTTAGGCGCAGCAATTCGGCAATCTTGATCCACCACTATCGGTCACTTTACCGACCTCGAACGTGTACCACGGCAGGCAGTGGCCTTCGCTGCTTGCGCTCGGGCTCGGGGCTGCTGGCGGTGGAGAAGGCAGCTGGCCGCACCAGTGAGGCGGTGCTTGCAGAAGTGCAGAGGCCGGTGATGGATGGTGAGTGCAGGTGGTGATGGGAGGTAGTCATGAACTTTTGAACCCAAGGAAGCCCCCAGGACTGGCAGCTTGGAGCCTTTGTAGGGATTTCAGGCATGGAGGGGTTGAACGGGGGGGGCGATCGAGCCCAAGGTGTTGGCCTCTCTAAACCAAAGAAAACCAAACCAGTATAGTGCAAGTCAAGTTCAAGCAATTGATTGGCTTTGTTAGTTGATGCTAGCTGAAGGGAATCCAGAAAAATTAATTGCAAACTGCACGGGCTGCACTTGATATCAGCTAGATATTTGCCGTAATGGCTTAGATTTGGTTTCTATCGTTTGCCTTAGTTTTCGAAGCTTTGGACTCTCACGGCTATGTAAGGAATATCCCGGCCGAGCGAAGCCACGGCTCGTGAGGCTGCTCAGTGCGATGGGCGATGACTGTCCCATCAAGCGCCTCTCCCGGTTGGATGCTCAGACCTCAGGGGTTTTGCCCATTGCCATGGCGCCTGAGGAGTCAGGAGAAGGGGTTGAAAGCGATGCGAGCAGTTTGCTCTTGGGGTGAAGGTAGGGCGTGCCAAGAAATCGATTTTTGACTAATATCAATATTGGTCTAAACGAATCGCCTTGAAGCTGTTTGGGGCCTATGCTTGTATAACTTAAAGTGTGTCTTTTCCACGTTTATCCAGTCAAATCCAGACAGTGATGGTCATGTTTGTGCTCATCCAGCACTTAAATCTTTGAGCATTGATGAGCATTGCAATAGCAATGCGCACTTCTTTTGTTTTGGGTGGGATGTTGAACATAGGCCAATGTTATCATAGTTTGGAACTGTCCATTGATAATGGCGATGCCTTTTCGTCCCCAGCTGGTGGAGGAGTCACGAGCTGGTTGGAGCTGCAGTATGCGGCGCGCCAGGTCACAAAGGTTTACTGGGCTTTGTGCTCTGGTGAGCCCCTCCCGGTGGGTGCATCAGGCTTGATCGAAGCTCAGCGCAAACGAGTTTAAAGAGTGGAGTGATCACCTTGTAAGGGACCTGATTCCCCACATGAACGTCAAAGGTAATAGTTTGGCTCTCCCACATGTGGTGCCTAAGGATAGATAAACTTGGCTTGAAAGTGCTTGAAGCACTTGAAGAACGAGCCACTGAGGCCTCACCCTTGACGAGCCTGCCCTCCGCGGGGGGCTCCACAGCTGTTCGGCTGCATCATTGATTGTAATTGATTGCTGAAGCTTCTTCCCTCGGCCAGGTTATGCAAACCACTTGGTCGCGGACTGGGAAGGAGGCGGGGCTTCTCTGGATTTGGGCAAGCTGTGAGTTGCCATGGCAACTCACACGCGACTGACCCGTTGCCCACGTTGCAGCTCTAAGGTTCCGAAAGAGGTCTCAAAGAGCATTTGGGGCTCATTGGTTTCCGACCAACTCTGACACCTGTTTGGCCTTGAGGCCAGTACTGAGTATGTGGTCTTGGAGGTCTATGAGCTCAAAGGCACTTCGGTGATGCTGCTGGAGGCTCGACCCCTCACAGGCCGCACGCATCAGATCCGTGCCCATTTGGCGGGCATCGGGCGTCCCATCATCGGAGATCCTGCCTACGGAGGTGCGGTGGCATGGGGTGAGGGGCCTCGTTGTCTGTCTGACATGTGCGATTGGTCTTCAAAGCCAACTTGACCGCGCAGGCTCCCATCAATTGCATACTGTAGATACTATAATGCTCTGTGATATGAATGGATTATTAGCCTCACTTCAAATCATTTCAAAATCACTTGGCGTCTCGCACATCTCTCGCGCGTCTCGCTTTTTGTAGGCAGGGCTGTCTACTGGTGCCCACGGCTTTTCCTGCATTGCTGCCAAATCTCTATGCTCGACGCCGCCGGCGTGCCCTTCGTTGCCAAGGCGCCCTTGGCCCCCGAGCTACAGAGGAGCTTGGAACGGGTGAAGGCCATGAGCACCTCGACTAGGAAGATGGAAGGCAGTGCTTGGGGATGAGAAAGTCCTGAACGTCCAAAAGCTGTCATTCAGTATTGCTGTATGCTACTTCAGTACGAAGAAGCAGCGGATGCCTATATACATCCAGGAGTTCTTCCAGGAGCAGCTTCCCCTGCCTTGCCTGTCCCACACAAAGCAAGAGCTGCGGGCTTTCATGCCGAGGCCACCCCCCAAATGTTGCTGCCCCAGTGGTGCCTGTGAGCAAGATGGTTGTTGACTGGAAGGCGGTTCCTGATGAACCACCTCAAGCAAAATGCCAGCCAGGCTGGAAACTTTGATGTTTGTGGGTGGGCCTTGTGGGCCTCAGCCAGAAGGCAGCGCAGTTCAGAGACGGGCCAGAGTTGGGATGATTGGGCATCCATCAGCATTTTTGCAAACAACGATGCCATCGAGTGTCAGCTCAGTCCGGTCGCCACTATATCACTGTGTTGCTTGCTGCCTAAGCCTGTCGCCTGCGACTCTAGGCGGGAGCGAGATGTTAAAGTTGAAGCGGGTCTACCAACATATCCCCGTTCTGCCGTTGTTCTGCGGAATTTAGTTGATGGAATTCTTGAGGACATGTTGGTGCATCTGCAAAACTGAAAAAATACATATATATATATATCCCATATCCGTACGTTTCTGTCAGTCTGTGGGATATACTACTGCAAGCCATCCATCTATGGCCGTGATAGCTATGAACAGCTTCCCTCGCTCGGCTCGGCTTGTGCGTTTTACTTGCCAGAGCTTGGATTGCTCGTTCGAGGTGGGCCAAACTCAATAAGGACACTTGAAGACCTCTATTTTTGAAGAGCTACTGTACCACTTGGCATTATGTCACACCTCACTTTTGCGAGTAGGGTTGATGCACACCGTGCAAGAGACAGTCGGGCATGGTCAAGTCCTTGGTGAATTCAGACAAGAGTTCTGCTTACCAGTTTGGCCCAAAGTGTCCCCGGCAACTGTGCGGCCCCTTGTATGTTGAAAGATGTAGGGTTAGGCAGGCAGCTAATTAGGTTATATATTTGGCGATGAATGTAGGTAGGCTTGACACATACGTACGCAGAACACGTCTGGGTCATGAAGGAAGCGGCAGTACACACTAAGTGGAGTTGATGGTCTCAGTTCTGTTGGTGAAGATGAACGGTTCTCGTCCCATCAGGCGCTTCTCCTGCCTGGATTTGCGGGCCATAATGACGTTGCTGGCAACTTAATGGGCAAGAGATGGGTCGGTCAGGTCATATTCAAGGCCTTGTTGGATCTTGTTGGATTGAGCCCATCATACAGTCGGTGGCTGAGGGCACTTGCTTTTTTGGCGTCTTGAGGGCTCTGAGGGCAGCTTCTGGCAGTTGAAAGCTGGTTGCCCGGCTGCCCAGAGAGAGGCCCACCTCGGTGCTTGCAGCGCATGCCGAAAAAAATAGAGAGCGCTTGCAGCCATGTGTGGAACGTCTGTTGCGACGCGCTTCCGTACCATCACCGGCCCACGCGCAGGAAACGGGCATCCGGCAAGAACCTCAGGACCATTCAAGACCTCAACACAGTCGCCGCAAGAAATCCTTGCCATAACCCTGTGGAGTCCCAGTACTTAGTAGTCGTGCTGCGTGATGCCAGTTCGTGGCCTTGGATCAACGAACACTTCCATGGCACAGCTACTGTAAGGTGCAGCCTTCACGTGCCTTGCTGAAGGCTCCAAAGGCAGATAATGAGAGTCATCCATGCTCACGGGGCTGGAACTGAGGTTCGTGATGACTATGTAAGATCATATCCTCTTTCAGGTTTTGCATGAAAGGCGACAATATGGCAGTTGTCTTGGCCCCTGCGTTGAGGGGCACACGCTGCTGCTTTGACCCAGGCAGGGCAAAGCCTGAGCAGCACCAGTAGCCCCAGCCCTGGTGGCCCTGTTGGTGGCGCTGGTGGCCTGGCAGTTCGTTTTGGGGAAGTGTTATCCAGTGCTCACAGTGCAGGAAGCTTGAAGACGATACGCAACAATATATTGCTCGGGTAGTTCCAGTGATTAGAGTTTGGTTTTTTCGTCTACTAGGCTTGACTTGAAGGTGATCATCAATGAATCGTAACATTGGACGCCTGCTCGGCGGATCCTTAAGGAGTGATGCGAAGATGATGACACAGACACAGATGGATAATGTCAAGATTTGTGTGTTCCCACTTGAGGCAGTCGGAGCATGTGTGAGCCCCACATACAGGGAGGGGTGATCCATTTTGGGCGGCCTTTTGGTTGGTCCCTTGTGTTTTTGCAGGTGTTTGTTATGTGAGTTGATTTGGTTTGTGGGTTTGGTGCACCTCATCTTGGCCTGTTCGATCCGCAGGACACTTTTAGATGCCTGTGTAGTCCTGTGTGACCTGGCCCTGGACGAGATCAAAGCATATGGATGACTCGAGAGTAGGCTTTCAATCTCATTTTCACCAGGGCGGCATAGGGTCTCAGGTCTCCCCAACATGCCAACCCAGATCAAACCAGACACCTCCAACGTTGGCCAAATTGTAATCTGTGTCTTGCTGTCGTGCAGCCAGTCGTTTGGCATTGAGAGGGCTGGGGCTTGGCTCATTTCATGTGCCCGACAGCTCTCTAGCCATGGGGAAGCGTACCGTGATTTGATGGCAACTAACAAGCCGCTTGGCTGTGACTAAGTGGCTGCTTGCCAAGTCCAAGAGGCACAGGATTCAGGGGGCAAAGAGGAACGTGCAACAGGTAAGATGATCGCTCCAACAAGTTGGGTGACTTTGTCAGGGTTCAGTGGACCATTGTACCATTTCTCCCCCTCCTTGATTCTGCAGAACTGATTCTGTTGCTTTGGTATGCTGGCCGCTGTCAGAATGTTACATGCCCTGGGAGAACTTCAAGAGCACTAAAAAAGGTTGTTGAGTGTATTGTTTCGAGATGTTTGGAGTACTTTGGAAGTTCAGCAGGTTGGCTGCTCTTCTAGGTGCCTGTTGGTGTGAAATGGTGTGAATGTTTCACACGAAAGCACGCCTCGGCAGCCAGGATTCAAGATCGGAAGCGGTCTAAAAAGGACCCGGACTCCACTGACTCCAGGCCGAGCTAGCTCGAGTTTCCCTTGCTGAGGCCTCGCATCACCATTCGCGTGGCGGAGTCCTCTCTTGAGCTGGAAAAGCAGAAGAGTCTGACCGATACGGAAGATGAGGAGGTGGACAGTGCCCCAGAAGCTTGTTTTGCATTGATCATTGATCGAGGTCAAAGCATCGATTTTGTGTTTGCTGAACTGTTGCGACTTCCGGGCAAAGCTTTTAACGGTTCTTGAAGAATGCCGGACACTAGCTGAATGTTTCATGCAGTGTCGAAACAGTTTCTGGCGGTTATGCAAGGTGGCTCAACCGTGTTCAGCTGCAAACGCCTACCTGAACAAGCCACCTTACTACTAGGAACAAGAAGCTACTAGTAGCAAAGGGCATTACTAGTAGTAGCTGTTTGCATTCCCAGCTTTTTGCATTCAAAGCTCTTTTGTTTCACTTTCAGAGCTCTGCGCCTCAGGAAGAAGCAAAGCAAGAGTTGCTGAAGCTTTTGACGCCCTATCCCCGTATCCGGGAGGCACAACTGGGCCGGTGAGACCCAATGAGGGCGTGTAGGTGTCCTTCGCTCACATCAGGGTTTTGTTTGGTGTTTCTTGTTTTGTGATGATTGTTCCGTGCCCATATGCAGATGTTGAGAAAAACCTCCCGACTCCAGAATCCACAGGGTGCACAACATACCAGTAAGTGAAGACAAACTAGCACCTTTTTGGGCCGACTACATTCTGGAAGTGATGCAGGGCCGTCAATCTATGGAGTGAGATGTCTGCTCAGGCGCTGAGAGTGCCCAGAACTGCGAACAACACCAGGTGTCTTGGACATGTTGGACATGTGAAGGGTAGATTTTGGTCAGGAGGGCTCATCCGGTCGACATTGTGGGGGGTCCAGGTTGCTGGAGGCTTTGTCCGAAGCCCCGGACAAGTTCGAGACTCTGAGGAGAACGCGGCCGTTCGGGACCACCGGTCGACATGCTCGTCGACCGGCGACCGTCTCTCGTCGACCGTTTTTGGGTGAACATCGTGCATGAAAGAATGACGGAGTCTTCGCGATTCGTTCTTGTAATGCTTTCTTGGAGTGGTGACATTTGCAATTGTTTTCGCATGTTCAAGTTTGCTCATCATTGCTACCATGATCCAGTTTTCTATTGAGACCCAGAAAGTTTTGTGCTCAATCGGTGGTCCAGGGGCAGGCATTTTTTTCTCACCGAAGCTTGGCAGGAATGGTGGCCTTTCTTTAGCAGATGCTGTCCGCGTACTTGATATGCTCCTCGCAAAACAATTCTGTACGGCACAAGATTCTGTACAGTACAACTGTGGAGCTTCTTCAACATCCTTCAGAAGAACAACCTAAACACTAACCTGATCGAAAGCGATTTGATTGAGCTGAGCACAGCTCATAAAGATATGAAACATGATGAATTTGTGAGAAGAACCAAGGGATGTCCACCAACGAATTGCTACACACACACACACACGGCGGGGTGGTTTGTTTGAAACGTTTCTTTTGTGCGTGTCCAGCTTTCTGAAGCGGACGGAACCGATGACTTGTCCAGGTTGGACTTGGCACTGGAGGCTCCACCTGAGCACAAGGACGTCCGGCGCATGACGCCGTCCGTCTAACCGTCCTTTTGGGTGGGTGTGTGGGGGGATTCGTGCCGAAAGTTTCAGGAGAGCAAAATTGCAGCCAAGAGTGTCCTCACGAAGTGCGTTCTCCCCTGTCTTTGCCTGACTGAGCTTGTAATGAAGCTCAGCTGAAGAGAGGTTTGGCTATGTTGAAACTATGTTGTGCCCAATTTGCGTGGCAAATTCTTTGTACAACCTCTCCGCATTGTATTTGCTTATTTTTGTGATTGTATCATCATTCTGCCTTGCAAAGTGACTGTTGTGACCCTGCTACTGCTGAGATGTGGCCTTTTGATTTGGACCATCGAAACTTCGACTGGTGGCTGGAATGTGGGAAAATGCTCGCTCGTCATGCGGCTTGGCCAGAGAGTCTCAGCAAGAGTCGATTCAAAAGATACGAGATGAACAGGTGGGGCATAAGGCTTAAGGAATCATGAACAAGGACAACCGTGACAACCTTCTGTGTATTCTGAACTTCCATCATCCACATTCCTTTCTGTGGACAATTTTTGGCCAGAAAGAAACACTTCTTTCCTGTCACTTGACTCCAAGAGACGTCGCCGAGACATTACCAAATGATGTCCCAGTCGGGTGTGCGGAAGGCCAGAGCTGCGCAGAACACTGCAGGTTTACCAACATCACTTGCACTGAGCAAACCACCCGGTGCGCGGTGGATCTGGAAGTTCGAGCCGCTCAAGGATCGCTAAGGCGCGCGGGGGAGCGCCAGCGAAGCGCTTGACACGTGCCGGCAACGCTCGGATTTCCAGAAGATGTGTGGGACAAGGCTTGTGATCACACATGAGCACTCACGGAACTTACAAAACCAGACATCCAAGAAGATCACTGGTTGTGCTTTTCGCCATGGACCGTTCTCCAGGTTCTACACGATGCAGGGGTGGTAGAGCTCTCAGAGGAAAAGAATGCGGTCCGGTTGCCATTTGAAGAGTGCTTGGTTTTTTGGAGCTGGTTGACACCGTTCTTCCCAATTGCCTCCATGACATTTCGCCAAAGCACACCCCCTGCGGTGACTGGTTGACCACTGAATTGTGCATGAAGTGTGACTGCAAGTCATGGACTCCGTTCTTGAGCCTTCTTTGAGGCACCTCCCGGTGTCTTACAAGACCGAGATGGGCGGTTTGAGCTTTGCCACTTGGACGGAATTGGGCTTCCGCGATGGGCTGCCAGTAGCAAAATGTAGCAACCTGCCCCTCGCAAACATTTCATTGTGCAGCCACCCTTATAACATCAACTACCCACGACTTTTTGTAATGTAGACTTGATTCCCCAGGCGCTGAAGAGAGGTTTTACCATCCACGGGTCTTGTGCGGGGGCTATCATGTATTAACTCATGTATTATTATGCATCAAGATTTGCATCAATCTTTGTTCATGTTCCGGGTGGCGAATTGGGCCTCAAAGGGTGAGGCCATTATTCGGCCCGCTGTCATTTCTCCGAAGTCTCCTCAGCAGAGGCCAGCTATTTCGGGGAGCGCCTGAAATGCTGCAACGACGCAAATGGACGCTTGGACTAATGGGTGGGCAGAG